TGAAACATCCAAATTTTGAATGTGTCGGGACAATTCTTAGATGATCACGAGTCATGTGTCAAAGTTTCGGACAGTCTGGTCAAATACCCTTAGAAAAAAAAAGTGTTTTATTCGAATCGACTGATTTGAGGGGGGTTTCACTTCATCTTAATGCTTTGCCGGTGCCGCGCAACTCCGTAGGAAGAAAAGAGAGCCAGGCTCTCAAGATCTTTGCACGAGACCGTGGTATTCCGTTTAATGGGTCATTCCGTGTGTGTCAAGTGGCCTTTGCAGAGAAAAAAAAAGAACGCGAGCGGGCCGTTCTCCCTCGATTACATCGCTATTGATACGTTCTCGGAATGAGCACTGGAATTTTTCACTTCTTTCGTATTTTCCCGCGCAAAGAATCCCATAGCTAAGTGCGTGACGTTGACGCGTTGATTTCTGTAATCGATACCGTCTACCGGCTTGGTTTGCAGGCAAATGCATTCGGAATGAGTGTACATGCCAGTGATAAGCCGGAGATAGGACGACTCGGGCAGAAAATTGGCCTTGAAATTCAGCGACTGGAAAGGAATCCGGCGGTTCGTGCAAAAGAAAGAAATTCCGTTGAAAAATGTCACGTTGTAATAAACTCGGTGAAATCGGAGAAAACGGCGCATTTTTGTCAACCACTTCCTTACGAGAAATTGAGTACAACGGGTATCAGCTGCGTAATTGATTATTAGAAATTAATATTATTTAAAAACGAGGCCATATACCTGCTATCTTCGCGGTACCGTTGACAGTGGTAAATGGAACGAAAATTAATACCACCATTAGCGGCAATCTTTAACGAAATGACCTCTCATTATTTCCTTTATCGGTGTTCCTGATTTTGTTGATCTATCGAAATTCAAAATGACCGGGAAATTTCGCCGAGGAGGTATTCCGATGCACTTTTTATTGTTGCATTCTCGTAATCCGATAGCGAATAAAGTGCCTCTGATATTTCGATCTTGAAGATATCCCCGGGATAGATCGAAGCTACGAGGAAATGTTGACAATCCATTACTGGAATAGTAAATAAAAAATAGAATTCGAGGCATTCATGAATCGCGTTCGGTCATGACGGATCGCGAATGTTTAACACGGCGGATGCGAGTCCTCTCGGCCCGATCTTCCGGCATCGATTTAATTCACAACAAGCATCGAGTCGGCGAATAATGTATACCATGCAAATCCTTCGGATTGCTTTCATCGATGTTCGCGCTCGTTATGGGCCCATTGAATTTCTAATGAATTAAGGTCATCCCAATGAGGGGATGATTCTCCCCGTCCGAGAACGTACGAATGTGCATCGGCTCGTTTCTTTTGCGCGCTGGCCATTACCCGAACGATGTTTAATACATATCCGGATTTACATATCGTTGCATATTTATGTCCCGGAAACGATCCTTCAAAATTGGATTAAAATAATCCGAGCGAACTCGTCCCGTCCGGCACTCGGGGGAGACAATTTGGATGTATGCAACATGCTGCCACGGTCGATTTGAAAAATCATTAGGCGGCCATCGATTATTCATGCCACTCGGACGAGCATCGATAAATGACCTCCCTAAATCGCAGAACGACGTCCTCTTCCTCGAGACGAAGGAAACGTCTTCTCGTGCAGAACCGCTCGCCGTAAATTAACCGGGAAAAGAAACAAAGGAATTCCTGCAGTAAAATGGAATTACAGATTGAGTCGACGATACGGTAAAGCCGCTTTTACGACCCTTTGAAACGGCTTAACGTGGCGTGCGTGCGACTGGAATAAAGCCTTCCACAAAATGTCACGCAAAACGCCGCTGACCGGATAAGGAACGCGCGCCGTCTTTCGTATCCGTCTGCGGAAATTTCTCCGATAACTCACGATGCGTCGGTCAAATAGCACCGACGCCAAGCCGTCTCTAAACTTGACCGACGGTTAAATAAAAAAAAAAATAGTAAACCGGGATCAACCCGACGCCGCGCGCGCCATCTTCGGGGCCGTCAAAAGGACCGCCGACAATATTGCATTACCCAAATATCGCCGAGCAAACGTTTACCGAGAATCTAGTTAAACCTCCGTGGCCTTATCGAGACGCCGTGCATATTTGCGGTGCAATATTTGCCGCGCCGTCGTTCCGCCGCGGCTCGGACTTTATTGTCCCGCGCGAGCTTCCCCGAGAAAACGGGGTAGTAAAATAAGCCGAAGAAAAAGCGTCATTGAAGCTGCACCTACCTTGAAGAGAGGCGGTACCTCCTTCGCCTTTCTTCGCGCATTTTTCCTATTTTTTTTCCCCCCGCTTTTACGACTCGGAAGCGTACGGAGTCATCGACGCGCCGGAAGTTCATCTTTTCCTCGTTTACTTCGAACGCCTCCTTCGGCGAATCCCGGTGGAGGAATAAGCCTGCCACCGCTAACCTTATCCGCCTTAAGTATTCAAAATGCAAACACGCCGTGCCGTTGTAAAGGGATCAATCTTCCTGGGGGAGGGTGCGCGGGTGCACTTGTGCTCGCACTTGCAGCGGGCCGCACCGCGTGGTGTAATGCGATTCGGACTGACATAAATTACCGAGGACCGCAGGGGTAGGTTCGCGTTCAAAGCGGCTTATCTATTCCGCTTTAACGGGCCCGGTGTAAAATAATTTTACGCCGAGCTCGCATGCCGGGGAATATTTCCATTCCGCCATCGCCTTGGCCGAGGCTTAACGTTCATTTAAACCGCTAGCCGGTATATCGACTCGACACTGACGTCTACCGACGTTTACCCGTCGAGCTTTATTGCGTTACAGCCTCCATTTCCGCCCGTTCGTTCGGGTGGGACCGCCCTTCGGGTGGAGGGAGTGCCGCTCCCGAGCGAGCGATCAGCTGATTCCCCGATGCGATAGGGAGAGACTAATTTGACTTCCGAGGATATCCCCCGGTGGAAAATGGGATTGATGCAGTACTCGAACAATGGAATTAGGCACGGGGGATGTCGAGCGCGTTTTAAAGAAAATAGGAATTAAGGGCGATGAGAATCATTTCAGGGGAAGTTGTGTCCTAGATGATCATGCAACACCAACCAGGGTGGAATTTTGGCTGACTTTGCTGGCAACGCGGCTGGATATCCCCCGGTGGAAAATGGGATTGATGCAGTACGCGAACAATGGAATTAGGTACGGGGGATGTCGAGCGCGCTTTTAAAGAAAATAGGAATTAAGGGCGATGAGAATCATTTCAGAGGAAGTTGTGTCCTAGATGATCACGCGACACCAACCAGGGTGGAATTTTGGGTGACTTTGCTAGCAACGCGGCTGAAACGACTTCCGAGGATATCCCCCGGTGGAAAATGGGATTGATGCAGTACGCGAACAATGGAATTAGGTACGGGGGATGTCGAGCGCGCTTTTAGAAAAAATAGGAATTAAGGGCGATGAGAATCATTTCAGAGGAAGTTGTGTCCTAGATGATCACGCGACACCAACCAGGGTGGAATTTTGGGTGACTTTGCTAGCAACGCGGCTGAAACGACTTCCGAGGATATCCCCCGGTGGAAAATGGGATTGATGCAGTACTCGAACAATGGAATTAGGTACGGGGGATGTCGAGCGCGCTTTTAGAAAAAATAGGAATTAAGGGCGATGAGAATCATTTCAGGGGAAGTTGTGTCCTAGATGATCACGCGACACCAAACAGGGTGGAACTTTGGGTGACTTTGCTGGCAACGCGGCTGAAACTATTGTGCCACAAACCCGGTGTTCTGTTGGGCGTGCGCGCGAACGTGCAGCATAAGTGCATTATGTTTACCAATTGTGTCGCGGTCCGAGCACAAACCAATCATAGATGCATTCCCGCTGCAAATTGGTGCGTCAATTTAACATCGATCTACGGCGAGGGTAGTTTTCGAGCTGGAAGCGGGGGAAATAGGAACGTTATTCTGCAGAATGTGCGTAACGATTCCTGCAGAGACGCTTAGGGTCTAGGTCAGGTTTGTTCGTTTTGCCTACACTTTCTACACTTTTAGGAAAAGTGTACCCTTTGGCGTTCGTTTTGACGGAAGAGACGCAGACGTTGCTGTTCGTTTTGCGAGGGCATCTACCCCGAGTTCTCTCTACACTTTCTACCCTCGATCCCGAGCGAGGGCAAGATGTTATTAAAGTGTAGGCCGTGAATTCGGCGGTAAATTTAAAAATTGAAAATACCAACAAACAGGAAAATACAAAGTTTGTCCCAGGATCTCAACGTAATATAAATAGAAATAATGATCAATACATTTTCTTGGTGTATTGAACGATTTAGCGTTTTAACTTTGTACGTAATCTTTGAGAAAATTGTAGAATCATTATTTCTTACAAATTGTGTATTGATTTGCAATTTATTTATTTACAATTATTATGGATTACTGCGTAACTGCGGTTGGAATGAAGTAAATTATGAATTTTCGAATGGCAACAAAACCGCATCATCCCTCTGAATCGGCCATCTTGTACTTTCTTGAGCTTTCTGACGTTCGGGACGTCGACGAAAGTGTATCTACCCTTCTGCACCTTTCAAGAGAAGTGTAGTACCCTCGTTACCCTAGAGGGGGTAGAAAGTGCAGACACCGCGAGCAAACCTATCGTTTCGTGCCCATTGATAACGGCAGCCTCCACGTGGTAGCGTAAAAGCATTCGCGAAGGACCCCAGCGTTCGGAAAGTCGTTAAATTGGAGGAAGGCGAAGTTCGTCGCGAAGCGTTCCTCGGAGGTTGCCGTAAATTGCGAATATTTTCCCGGCGAAAGGAAAGGACGCGCCACTTAGGAGGGACGAGACTTTTTCGCGCGGTACAATCTGTTAGGCGGGGAGGGAATTTCCTTCGGGGGCCCTTTTGTGTCCCTGGAGTGCCGAAAACCCTCGCAATTTTCACGGCCCATTTCCCTCCGTGCCGACCTATTACTTGCTCGATACAATCTCGACTCGAACGGCTTCGACTCCGAAGACGACCCCGAAGAAGTTCCCTCGGAGGTCCCAAAGAAAACCAAAGTCGGACTTACTCGTGCAGATGCCCTCGTCGACTTCTCGCGCGTGGTCCAGCAGGTTCTTAATGACGCACTGGAGACCGACGGCGCAGCTTCCGGAGAACCCGAAGAGGCCCCCGCAAGGCTCGCCCTCGACCCTCGCGCACACCTTGCAGCACCTGCAGGGGCAGAAAAAGGGACATCCGTTGAAAACTATCCCCCGAAGTCGGGACCACCCCGTTTCGGGCGGGGCTCTCCCCTTCTCGGCAGTGATTTACGAGTCCTACCGGTTGCGCGCGACGCCACGCCGCGTTAATTGGAAGCGAAGCGCCGCAGCATCACCCAAGCCGGGATCATTTTACGATACCCTTAAACCCGCGGTCCGAGGTTGCGATATAGAGCTAGTGCGGCGTAAATCATTCTTCCCCGACCGGGTAATTCGCGAAACACCCCCCGAAGTGGGTCGCGGCGATCGCGGTTTGATCCTCCGGAGTCCATCCTCGACAAATTGCTTCATTCCTGGGCAACGATTGATCCGCCACCCCTTTGCGTCGATTTCTTCCGACCGGAGCGGGACGAATATTGGTTTCATTTTAAGGCGGTCGTACCGTGTGATAGGTCAAACAAAAATTGAAAAATATTTTATTTCATAAGTTGCTTCTATAATATGTCTAGAATACGTAGAATAAAGGATTTATCAATATTCGAAGTCGGTGGGTACAGACGTGGAACGGAGCACGTATGCGGAAAGAGGGGTGGAGCACCGGAGTATTCTTATATTTTTGCTTGAAAAAAATCTGAGTGACTGTATAAATGTTAATAAATATATTGTAAAACTTCCAAGTCACTACTTTGCTGAGATGACATATAGAACCCTTCAGTTCGTATAATTCTCAACGTAGACTGTAAAAGGCTTCAACACAAATATAAATGTCGGTATTGGGACTCGCCAGCTTATGTTCCCACTTGAGTATTCAAAACGGCATTACCCCCAAAAAGAGAATAGATCAATTTTGCTATATAGACGTCGATTAAATTCCTTAGCGCCTCTCATATCCTCTTAATCGATACGACTCTCCCCTTATAGGGGAAGTAAGAGTCGCGGGAGATAATGATATCACGATCAATGAATCGAAGTACCGCGGAAGGACGGATTCGGGAAGAGCTGCGATATCCTTAAATGGGTCTTCCATGTTTTCGGCCGAGCAGAGACATGTCTTCCTTCGGGATTGGAGGATCCCACGAGACGTCTCGCGATACTTCCGCATGGACCGTTTTAACTCGTCGCGTTTCAATATCCGGAATAAGACCTTTTTTTCGTGGAATAAAACCCCCTCGGCCGGCTTCTCTCCCCAGGAAGCGTTTCCATCGCGCGTAATCCCGATTCCCTCCTCCCTGGGTATCGGCGGAGGCGAGATTTATTTCCCCGTTCCCTAATTCAAATGCCACGTCCCGGGTAGCCCGACAGCCGCGATGCATGCTAAACATTTTCCCGATAAATTCGCGATACGATGGCGGAAGACGTTACCGCGGCCATATTCCTTCGCGGCCGTTATCTCGGAAGGGTTCTCGAAGAAGGTTGGCCCAAGGCGAAGGAAACTTCGATATAATTTAAATTGTCTCCCCGAAAGGGGTGCGGAAAAGGAGTTCCCTCCGTCAAAGTCTCCCTGCCTGGGAAAACGCGTCCTACGTAGGGCAGAAGTGCCGGACTAACCCTCGGAATAAATTATACACCGCGTCCGGGCGTACCGGGCGAATCGTCGGTACCGAGGGACTTTGAATTACGGAAAAGTGGCCATTAGACGGTTTTACGCTCGGCATCCCTGCCAAATTAACGTTAACTAACGATCTCGGGCGTGAAACGTGCACGCAAGTACGCAATATATGCACCGATCATTAAAATGCAGCTTCTTCCATAAAGTGTCCTGTACCCAACAAAATTCGTCAAAGGTGTTATAATCATTTTTATTATTATTAGCGTTTGGAAGGGTGTCGTTCTTATCATTCATTCAACGCCGAACAATAAAGGCACGACTTAGATCGAGTTCCATTTCGTATCCGACTCCAGGCAGATTTCTCTAAAAAAATGCCTTGTATTAAGAATCGCGGGAGAATTTCGCGCCAAATACATATACAAGCGCATATTGAAAGCCTTACAGCACAATATTGCCGCAACGCGCTTATCAGGTTATTATCTGCGAAATATAACCTGCCGCGTCAAACCGAACACAATATATTTTGTCCTAAATTGCTCGATATAATTTAAGCTTTAGCATTTACGTCAAATTTTTTGTCACGTTTATGATATGTACAAAATTCGTCAAAGGTGTTATAATACTTTTTATTATTATTAGCGTTTGGAAGGGCGTCGTTCTTATCATTCATTCAACGCCGAACAATAAAGGCACGACTTAGATCGAGTTCCATTTCGTATCCGACTCCAGGCAGATTTCTCTAAAAAAAATGCCTTGTATTAAGAATCGCGGGAGAATTTCGCGCCAAATACATATACAAGCGCATACTGAAAGCCTTACAGCACAATATTGCCACAACGCGCTTATCAGGTTATTATCTGCGAAATATAACCTGCCGCGTCAAACCGAACACGATGTATTTTGTCCTAAATTCCTCGATATAATTTAAGCTTTAACGTTTACGTCAAATTTTTTGTCACGTTTATGATATGTACAAAATTCGTCAAAGGTGTTATAATCATTTTTATTATTATTGGCATTTGGAAGGGCGTCGTACTTATCATTCATTCAACGCCGAACAATAAAGGCACGACTTAGATCGAGTTCCATTTCGTATCCGACTCCAGGCAGATTTCTCTAAAAAAATGCCTTGTATTAAGAATCGCGGGAGAATTTCGCGCGAAATACATATACAAGCGCATACTGAAAGCCTTACAGCACAATATTGCCACAACGCGCTTATCAGGTTATTATCTGCGAAATATAACCTGCCGCGTCAAACCGAACACGATATATTTTGTCCTAAATTGCTGGATATAATTTAAGCTTCAATGTGTTACGTCAATTTTTTTCTCGCGTCTATGATATGTACAGAATTTATTATTTCACGTAATACCGAGACATGCAACGTTAGATCTTTCACTTCTCGTGGATGTATTAAAAATCCTCAACGCTATAGTTATCAGTTATTATTAGTGTTTGTAAGTACGCCGGTCTTATCATTCATTCGACTACGAGCGATAAAGGCACGACTCCATTTGACTTTCATTTCCCTTCTGACTCCAAGCGAGAGCCTTTCTTCCTCCCCTGGTCCTCGGCTTCTGTGACACCCCTTCGGGACTCCCCTTCGGCTCTCGAAATTCAGTGAAAAGGTTTCCACTCGCGGGTCCTCCACCTCTCGTAGGTGGAGTTCGCGCGTCGATTGCGCTCGACGGTTTTTCCCGAATGCGTGGAGGCGCATTGCGTGTCCCTTGCCGCGAGGAGAAAGGGGAACCGGTGCCCGCCTTGCGAGGCGGGCGAGCTTTTTTATGTAACGCAATTATACGAGTTACGTAGCCGCCTCTCGTCGCGTAAACAGGACCGGTCTCCGGTGGTCTGAATTCGAATGAGATGCGCCGCAGAAAAGAGGCGTCGCGGCGTCGCACCGCGCGGCGAAAATAAAAGCGCGGGTTTATTTCGCTCGCGGGAGAGCGGAGTTGCGAGGGAACTCTTGGGAGCCTCCTCCCCCCCCGAGACAGGAATTCGAGAATTCGAGAATTTAAGAACCCGGGGATGCATTCCCAGAGCCGCCTCGGGGGTAACGCGCCGAGAGAGCGGAACTGGCAGCTTGCCGAGCGAAAACGGACGGCACGAAGACGTGCGCCACGCCGAATGAAACTAAGACGAGAAGTCGTGCAAATTTATTAGCACCCTGGAATAACTGGTAAGGGGCCGGGGCGATGATTTCTGCAAAATTTATACCGAAAGATACCTAACTTATTCACCGAGTGTGATAAAAAAAGACTCTAAGGTGATATGAAAGAGTCAACCTAGATGTATCTGAGACGTCAAATCGTTGGGGAAAGTATTCAACAAATTGAGGGTACCGATTCGTTTCAGATTTTACAAGGGGAATATGGAGGCCCTAATGTAGGTCCTGAAACTCACGAAATGTCATTTTTCGTCAGAAATTTATTTATTTATCGTGGACTTGAACCAACATGGCTTGGTCCGGGCACGTTTTCGATGTTTTACGCTTCTTGAAGGCTTAGAATCGAAAATTATGAGTTTCAGAACCTGGCTTGAACAATTTAGAATATCGTAAAAATGGAACATTACAGAGACAGAGAATGTGATTTTATACTTATTGTTAGTGGATTAACCCGAGTTAAATAAGGCCTCCGAATGTACGCGTGGATTGAGGTGTGTGAACACTAATTGTTAGTATTTTGATTCCGAGGAGTTATCAAAATGTTAATGGAAAATAAATTACTTATTTTGTATTTGCCCTCGGTATCGCACCGAATACCAGGTGACGTAAGTTATAGCGTTCATTTGCGCGTTCTCACAAGGGGAACGAGTGACGTCCCCTTTGCAGGGTAAAAATGAAATTTTCCACGACCGCCTTCCGAATCATTTTTCTTCGTGACAGGGCCACTAACTCGCCTCCACTCCTCCCTTGTCCCGTGAATATTTTATTAGAGAATAAAATGACAATGACGCACCTTTATGGTATCAGAAACGAGATCCCGAGACAGGCGGCTTCCGGGTCAAGAAACGAACTAATTATCGGCTTTAAGTCGTTATTTATTTTAATATTTTACTGCTTAAGACGGGTCCAAATACGCCCCCAACATCCCCTAAAACATGTTCCTTTCCCCTTAAATTCATCCTAACCTTCACAGTATGAAAAATGATTCTTTCCTCCCTTGAATGCAAACCAGCCGATCACGAAATCACCCAAAAGTTCAATTAAAAACGGTACAGTTAGGCACTAATAAATTCCGCTGATTTAATTAAATCGTACTTTAATCAAGTAAATGGTTTAATTACGGAATTCTAGTGAAACGGTCTAGTTAGAACTGCGCCCTTAAGTAATTTAGCTCGTTCAAATGCAGGACCATAATTTGATTCTACGAGATAAAATGGCCCTTCATTGAAACTGCGTGCGAATTACGTTTAATCGACAAGGCGACTTGAGTTGGAATTTTGTTACTTCTTCGCGTTTATCTTAATTTTCTATTCTCGTTATATACTCTTTGAACACGTGTCCTTAAGAGCGCGTATTTTTTACACTTTACTTAATTAAGAGCAATGTGCACTGGCGCATTCTACGTACACGTTGGACGCAGCTTCAATTGGTGTTCATAGGGAACATCTTGTTCTCCCCTACATAAATTTACGCTGCCGTTGCTATCTCATTGCTGGCCGTCGACGGTTTACGCTCCGCAGTTCCAACAAGATCGCACCGACGCTCCAGTCGTGGGAAAAATATGGAAATTCGGTGAGAAACAACATCCTCGTAACCGCGCTCCGATCTTTACGTAAAACTCGAACAAAACGGCGAATCCCCTTGTTATCGGGCGTTGTAAAAATTTACGAGTAAACCGCGGTACCAGGGTCGCGGCCCATATTTCTACGTCGGTTCTTATCAGGATGAATACTTTGACGACTGGGACTTTATTGAATTTTAGCGGCGCCGCCAGCTTGCAACGAGGTCCTCCCAGCCACCGTCTAATTTGACCAGAAAATGTCAGAGAGGGCGACTAAGATTCTCATTTCATCGCACTTTCCCACAAATTTATGCCGGAGATGGTGCGCGCTTTATATCGCACCTCGCCGGTTTGTGCTTGAAATTTCAGCGAGAACACCTCGACAAGGTAAACTTTATTGAATCTCGAGTGGCCTCGCGGAAAGAATGAAATCTTTGGCAAAGTAGCCTCCTCCACCGGGGACCATCTCGGAACCCAATTTCGCCGTTTTGAGGCAAGCGCCTCGAATACATCCGACAGCTTCTTCGCCGCATCTCGAGGCGGCGAAAAAATTGAGCTTACGAGAAATCCGGAAGTCGCAAACGGCCACGCGGAAAGCGAACGATCATCCTTCCGGTCGTCCTTTCGCCTCGCGCGGTTTTAATCGCGCCACATTTTGTAGGGGGTTAAAAAAAAGACGTGGAAAATTAAGGGAGTTTCGCGGCCCGTAAACTCGCGTCCCCGAGGCTTCAAAAGCCAAATGCGGGAATTAAATTGTAACACTGCCCTGGGAAAAGGGCCTTTTACGCAATATTCTCCTTCGCGGTGTTCTTTTGTGCCTCCCTCGAGGGTCGGCGAAAAGTAGGCGTACTCGCTAGCCCGGGAAATAATGCGATTATGTAATGCAGCGTCTTAAAAAACTCGCGGAATAACAGATCCACTCCCTCCCCCGGTCGTTTCATAAACCGTGTAAACTTCCCTCCAAAAATGAAAAGAAAACCCGCCTAGAAGTCGAGGGAAATTATTGTTGCGCAACGGTTTACCCGTAACGTATCAACGCGTCGATAGAAATTTCCCTGAAAAAATATTTATCGAAGGAACGTTCTTCATCCCCGGAGGAAAAGCTTTACAATTAAGTGCCCAGTTCGGTGATCAAATATCCCGTAGACAACGAATGTTTACCCGGGTTGGAGTTTACTTCAATCAAGATCCATGTTTTCAGGGAAACCATTCGTTCCCTGGGAGTAAAAACATACACGTGGCCTGCTGTTCAAATAATACACTGTTTGTTCAATGCTTATCTTGTTCCCTACCCAGGGAAAATCTTTTCCTGGAAAATCCGTTCCCGTGGAATATATGCATCCGCGGTATTAATTCGAATCGTCGAATATCAGCGATGTTCATAATCCTTGATTAATTTATATAGTAATCTTAGACTTTAGAGATTATCGTATCGATTTTTTTTTACTCAATTCGCGCTTCCATCGAGCCGGAAAAATGGGGAACTCGTAAAACTCGACGACTTACTGTAAAGTGACATCGGATTACGCGTCTAATTACCGAAACAACCTGCTAAAGCAAAAGCAACGTGCAAATTAGCGCGGTCGATTCGCCCCGCGCAATAACGCACGGCGCAATTGCGGGCACCGCGATTGTCTTAACACAGTTCCGCGAGCAATTGTTCTGGAAATCGATAGAAAATCAACCGACAGGATGCACGCGATGGGCAAATATGAACACGGACATGTCTAAATGTAGCGATAGGTGAACATTTGCTACGCAAACATAAAGCCTGCCGACATCTCGATAACCGCGACGATTTTTGCTCCAAATCCATTATGTACTCCAAATTGCCACAAATTGTTAGACCTAATTTACACATAAAAGATATGGTTGTCTTAACACAGTTCCGCGGGAAACTGTTTTGAAAATCGATAGAAAATCAACCGACACGATGCACACGATGGGCGAATATGAACACGGACATGTCTAAATGTAGCGATGGGTGAACATTTGCTACGCAAATATAAAGCCTGCCGACATCTCGATAACCGCGACGATTTTCGCTCCAAATCCATTATGTACTCCAAATTGCCACAAATTGTTAGACCTTATTTACACATAAAAGAAATGATTGTCTTAACACAGTTCCGCGGGCAACTGTTCTGGAAATCGATAGAAAATCAACCGACAGGATGCATGCAATGGGAAAATATGAACACGGACATGTCTAAATGTAGCGATGGGTGAACATTTGCTACGCAAACATAAAGCCTGCCGACATCTCGATAACCGCGACGATTTTTTCTCCAAATCCATTATGTACTCTAAATTGCCACAAATTGTTAGACCTTATTTACGCATAAAAGAAATAATCGAATACATGGAAGCTCCACAAGCTTCAGCTTCATTTACTTTAGAATTAGTGGATTAACTCTGGGTACTGTAGTAGTAATAGTACCTACTACTTTCTCGATTGTCGCAAGGAGCTCTGGCTGATAACACGTAATTATGAAATTGAACTAAACATATTGGGATTTACCGATTTACAAGTATATTTTGTAACAAATTCTTCTTTCTGCCCACGTTTTTAGCGAATATTGTTGTGCATTGTTCTTTGGCCCGTACGGCGACCGCAATGTTCATCAGAGAAGACTTGGTCAAAAAAGAAAAACGCTCAATTACCACGACGAAAGTTTCCCCCGCGAATGTTTCCATGCGATGGATAGATTTTTATTTGATAAGAGTAAACTTTTCATGAATGAAGCAAATTTGTATTGAATCTGATTATTATATACCGGCTGACTTTGACTCGATTAACTAGCGGCTACACCGCTCCTGCAACGGACGCTTCAGAATGGAAGCAGGTCTCGATTGTTGGGTCGAAACTTTTATTACAGTATCGCTCATAAATCCCGCCTTATTATAAAAGTTTGTTAATTGCCGCATCGACGTTCATTTCGCCGCGAGTGCTTTGTTGCGCTCTTAATAATGAGCGAAATTGCGTATAAGTAATTGCTATACACCCGTGCTTCCTGTTGCGTCCTGGTATGGGAATAAATAATTATTAAACGAAGACGTCTGACGAGAAACGGGAAACGGAAGCAGAGACAGATTAGGAAGGATTTCCAGAGATCGGAGTGGAATAATAACTGAGGTGAAAGATTAAAATTTGATGACGGACGGATTTGACCCCTCGTGTCTCCGGAATTAAAGAAATTTCGACAGACGTTAATACCTCAATTCGTCCAATGTCGAAATTAGAGTAATTCCGAAATAGAAGGTGAAGTGATCAAGTCAATAGGTTGTCGTATCATTTTCGATTAGCTCGAGGTCTCGACGGAGTCTCGTCAGGGTCTCGTCAGGGTCTCGTCAGGGTCTCGTCAGGGTCTCGTCAGGGTCTCGTCAGGAGTGGGCAGTAGGAGAGAATTTCCGTCAAGGCAGAAGTTTCTATAAAACGTTCGCCTAAGGGTTTCCATTCTTTGAACGTGTCAGCACTTCAGAAACCTAAAATTGGACCTCGTTCTAACAGAAGTCAGAATATCGCGTCCTAGATCCTAGGAAAATCTTCTAATCTGCTTTCGAATCAAATGGAGACGGATAACATTGCGCCCTGCATATTGAAATATCCTAGCATATATATAACATAATACATATACGTTCGTAAATCTCTCGAAGTGAAAACTTAAAGCCAGAAAGAAATTGAAATTCATTTTTCGGATGAAACTTTTGAGATCGCGCTGTACAGTGTATAAAAACTTGGGGTGACGGAAACAACCATTTGCGATTGTAACCAAATTGTAGAAAGTTTTCTAATCGCTGCGACGACGTTTTCAGACCCTTGTATACATAACGAGCTTACATTAACACGCGAGAGTAACCACATATGATCGCACTCCATATATCTTTCCCTTGTACTCCAAGTGTCCTAATTACCCCTATATGCGCTTTCGTCGGAGCGACATGACAACCCTTTATCCGCCCGTCTCTCTCATATTCAGCAATTTTCCTCTCTCCCTTGCCTTCCATTTCTTCCATTTTTCAAGTAGGTAATATGTCCGGCATGCAAATATTAGTTTCCTTTTTTACCGAGGTCTCCAGCGACCCAAACCTCATTTGCATCGTGTCAATGACAGTATCTTATCCTACCTGTGTCATGACATCCCTCACCAATACTTAAAATCAACGTAAAATTTATTCCTCGTCCACAATTAAACGAGACTCAACGCAACGATGAATTTCTCTGTGATGAATTTCGGTGGCAGTAAAATTTCGAAATTGAATAGAAAATGCAGAGAGAGGATTGCGGATCTAATAACGGCCTCAAAATTAAGTGGAACTGGCGGGATTGCTCGGAAAATACGTACTTGCAGGGATCCCAGGTGAGTCCTCCGGGGCAGTCCTCCTCGGTGAGGAAATCACATTCCAGGGGCGCACACACGCACGACAAAGCCCTCGCCACCGCGACCGAAAGTACCACGATTCCTCCCAACAGAATCAGGGGGACTCTCATTTTCAATCTTGTTAAGCAGCCGCAGTTGCCTCTTCTATCCTACTTCTACCTTAGAAATCGGAGACGCGGCATGAGTTTCGGAAAAGCCACTTTTTACCTCGATTTCGGGGAGACTTCGTCCAGAGGGCCACTATTTCTACCAAAGGTGTCAAAAGACACCTTTGAAAATTTTAACTTGAAATTATTTCTAAAGTTTAATAATTTTTTCTCAATTAATGTTTCGAGTTTTCGTATAATAATTGTTAAATTTATTTAGCGGTATCATTTTCCTCCAGCTCATCGAAACCTTTTGGTCGAAATAGGTATAGACAAAATCGTGAAGAAGAAACGTGTATATTAACGTAATGTTTCAAACTTCATTTTAACGTATAATAAACGATTATGAACGATTATTTTACGTACATGGACTATGCTCAAACGACATTCATGTTACACTACTGAAACGATAGTTTAATAAACGTAAAATAAACGTTATACCAACTTCGAATTTGTCATTAAAAGGCGGGAAGTAGAAAGTGTAAAACGAGTTTTTTTTGCAAAACACTTTACACGGTTACAGCCAAAGGTTTTACACTATTTCTCAACGTGTATTTCACCATCTTGTGTTTACATGGATTCCACGTAAATATTACGGTTCAGTCGATGATATAACGAAACAAACCGCGTATTCATTAATAACAAAATATTCCCCGGCACTGCTTATCACCTCTTTTCACCCCCCCCGACAATTTTATTTAACCATGGAATTTTTTCTAAAAAGAAAAAAAATAAATTCACGGCAAAATAACTATCCAGGAACTTATGGAAGGACCCAATACAGATCGGGACAGGTATGACACTCGGTCGTGACGCAATTACCCAAAAAATACACGGTCGAAAATTAAAAGTGACCTCGATATCTCAACCGTTGATCTTCCGTTGTATTTTTTGTTCATTCCCTGACGAAATCAGGCCGTCGAATCTGGCCTGTACTTTCCGCACAGAGCCATTCTGCAGCGGGTACTTTCTATCTATTACCGGCACGGACGTAACATGTGCTCCGATCGCAATCGCTCGCGTCATAGCCGCGAGTGATCGATGGCTGCCGCCAAAGGAAATAATTCGCGAAATAAGGGAGGATAATGATCGTAGGATCGATCCGCGTCCCGTTGGGCAGTACTCGGTCCGGAAAGTCGAGGTACAACGTTGACGAAGCGCCAAGGCTGTTTCGAGGCATTAATCTTTATTTGCGGCCGTCACCCTTCGTCCCGGAAATCATTTCTCACGGGCCTCCCCACGACTTCCCCCGGCCCCGAACTTCCGAAGCTTCGAACTTCCCCGACTGATCTCGAATTCCAAAAGTTCGCTTTCGCATCGCTGAATCGAACCGTACCTTTCATTGCGGTAGGATGGTATCAGCGGCGCATGCAGTGCATGGCATACGGTAATGCACACGTTACGTACGTGTCCAGGTATGCCCTCATTGGATACCTATATACTTACAGGAGCATTACGAAATTACGTGGAAACCACTGTACCGGGAGATAGAGATATTCATGCGCAGATTCTGACGCGGAAATGATACCCCACGCGATATTGGAATACGTATCAAAATATGATGAGATAAGCCCTACCCTTGCAATCGTATTAATTGTAACCCTGTCTTGTTCTCTGGAATTCTTTGGAATATCCAGGGTGGTGGGCTCGTATCGGATCGGACTGGTATTGTTTTTAACATCTGGATTAAATTTTATAATGCTGATAAACACGGCCGTGGGAGCGTTAGATGTATGGACCCATCAATCATGGAGTGCGCTCGTCGGATGATATTATCGCACGGTGGACTCGCGGTACGACAAATGATCGAAACGCTGATTGATCTCAAAAATGTTGCCGGCTTAAAAGCTCCTGTTGCAGCAGTGATAAAAGGGGTAAACATGATGGAGCCGTCACGATCCGACGAAAACCATCGAATACATCACCTCGCGATCTCTGTACTCGTATTCAAAGCCCGACTCTGGTGGAGGGCAGGAACTTTTGTCTACCAGATGGATTACCGTCGCCAAATTTTCGGAAAACACGATCCTTGGAATGATTTCCATTTCAAGTACTGCAGTTTAACGAGAGTGGTCGTGCCGTCTAAAGAAATGAGAATTCCCTGGATTGTTCCTATCTTTGAAGAAGAAATAGTTTCGGGGATGCGCTGCATTAATTATTATGAGTATTGCGTCGTGATTTTGAGGGAGAAGAATTAGGAATGGTCTTGAAGTCGCGAGGAGTTTGTACGTCGTCACTTTTATTCTTTCCCGTTCTAACAACCGTCGTAAAATTCGTTCCACGGATTGACGTTGTACGATGGACACAACTTAGGCGAACTGTTTCCAACCTCTCACAGAAGTAACGCCCCGATTACTTCCGACACGTTATCATGCATCAACGAGATGAAATAAGAGAGTTCCTAAAAAGAGAATCCGCACTACTCCGCGCCAAAGTAGCGGCTTCACCAGGAGGCATGATAACCGGAGCACATGTTCCGGTAAAAGCAGTGCTTAAAAAAGCTTTTTAGCCCTCAAAGCGTCCAAAACATTAACTTAATCTATGCAGCGCATCCATTCCTCCAAAACGTGAACAAATGAAGAACCAACGTTTCCTTTCTATCGGATAAATACAATCTGCGGATTGATCTTTCTTATGATTACGCTCAGCGTTTAATTTTCATAAGCGATTTGCGTCACTCGTGTTCGACTCAAAATTGAAATTTCGAGAGCAGTTCGTTTCAAAAATCGCGCTTTATAAAGACCTATCCCACTTTTAGTTAATTCTACGTGAGGTCGGACGAATCGGTTGGGAAGCCCCGCGAAAAAGGGGTTGTACCACCGACACGTGTTATCTCACGCGTGACCTTAGTCACGCCTCATATCTCAATTCTAGAGCAGCACGCGTTAAAAATCGCGTTATAAAGCGACCTTTTTCTTCTTTGGAGAAATCCCCCCGAAGTCGCGATGTGTCAACTGCCGGATACCGGAAAAAGGAAATTCTCATGCAGGGGATGTACCACCGTTTAATCTCGGATGTGATATCTCGTCACATCTTCTGTCACACGTCAAGTATAACCGTTAAAACTCGTTGTATAAAATGACCAATGCCGTTAATACCGAATGTTTCAAGAAATCGCGCAAATCATCAATCGTCAAGTTCCGGAAAGAAGGAATAGTCTTTTAGAAGATGCTACACCGTGTCATCTCGCGGGTGATATCACATCGCGTCCCGTATCTCATATTAAATGTAAACATTAAAAATCCCCCTATGAAATGACCTATTCCACTTTTACCGAATTCTCCTCAAAATTGCGCAAATCACTAACTGTCAAGTCCGGCACAAAAAAAAGAAATAGGAATCTTTCAAGACATCTCGCGGGTGATATCATATCACGCCTCGTTCGGCATTTCAAGAGCATACGTTGAAAATCTCTGTACGAAAGGCCCTATCCCATTGTCAGTATTCTCGCGCGATGTCGACTGTCGAGTCCCACGAGGTAAGGATAATCTTTCAAGGGACGTTCCACCGAGTAACCTTATCACGTATCAAATCACGTCCCGAGAGCAGTCCGCGTGAAAGAAAATAGACGTATCCCATTTATAGCGAAGTCTCCCCGAAGTCGCGCGAAGCGTCGGCTGGCAAAGCCCGCGAGGAAAGGACGCTTTTCCGGGGGATGTACCACCGGCATGTCTTATCTCACGTGTGTTATCTCATATCACGTCCGGAGCCCACGCATCGCGCCGCTCGGAGATACGGTCGGAGGGCAGAAGGCTGCGGGTGAACGAGTTAACGCGAGGCGCACGGTTTCCAGGGCGAACATGCACTGGACGGCCCCGATGGGGAAGCGCCGCGACGAGCGGCGTCGCGACGCTCGCCTGGCCCGCGTCGGCGCCCTAGCGACACCCGCGACACCAGTTTTCTGCCCGACGTCCTTTCCGTGCCACTCGCTCGTAAGGAGCGGCCCTGCACCGTGCATCCGCCGTCGATCCCGATATGGAAATATCGCCGATCGTGTAATCGATTTATCGCCCGTCATTTCCTATTCCTCGCGGTTATCGGTTCGCCTAATTGTATCCATTTGCCTGCCACTAATCGTAACGAGCTCGGCAAGGGCGAACATTTTTTGTTAATCATTAATTGCATACCGATGAGTATTACCGACGCGATCCAAAATCCGTCTCGGGACCGAAGACGACGCCAATCGCTATCATTTCCTTGGGCTATTTTAAGCGCACTTACGTTATGATCCTGCAATAACAGAAGAAATATGCACGGACTCACCGCGTGCATCGCGCTGCCCGGTGCGGTAAAAAGTTGATCTTCGACCTGGAATTAATACCGACCCTCCAGAATCAGCATAATTGCCGCCGGTTGTGCGCAATCGCTCGCGGTTTTCCCAGGAGGAAAGACCGGGGCTGATTGTTGCATCTCGAGCTTAATCATTTTTCACGAGTCTTCTACAAAATCTGGATAATTGAAATGTTCATTATCGATAAATTCTTGAGTCCAATTTCTATATCAATCCTTTAACGTACTTAAAATTGAATTTCTTCTCCTCTACAAAGTGTACAACTTGCCCCACAGAGCGGGGCAAATTCTTAAACGTACGTAATTATGTTAAATGCATGCATGATGCTATAGAAAACAACAAAGGAGAAAGAAAGGTAATTAAAACCCGTGATTTATTTAGATTTTCGGATAAGACCGTAGATTTACAAGTAACACCACTCCGTGATCGCACCTTGAAAAAATTCAGTTTGTCCACGGTAAAATATAAAAAGCGACGTATCAGACATTCTCTCGAAGCATTCTTAACCAAACTATGAGTGATGGACGTCTGTCGAACGAGCCACGTGGCGTGTCGAGGTGGACGCGCTGCACCTAGCGGAGGCTTTTGATAACCCACTGTAACGTCTTACCCCTTGTAACGACTATTCCCAATCTCCTTTATCCTGGAGAAAATACTTATTAAATCAACAAAAGCAGGTTTTCGCAGCAGCGAGCAGTCCAAATCTTACCCCTGAGAAGCGTCCGGTAAACGAGAAGATGTTCTTCGACTCGAAGGCGGATATCTCCCCGGCTACGAAGACGACGTGTCCAGCCATCAAGGGTGGGACGACACAATCCGCGCGAGCAATACCAATTTCTCACGGTAATCCGGAAACGGTCGCCGGCAGGATCGACAATATCTAAGGATTTACCCGGTGCAGCCCCGAGCGCTGCGCGAGGACGCGCTATCATAGTACACCCCACGGAGTGATTAAGCCCCGAGAAGCTCGACGTGGAGCTTCGCCAACCTGCCCGAAGGCTCGCCCACGGGGGCGAGTCCTTCCTTTCGAATGCGAAAAAGCTCGGCCGGGAATTTGCCGGCGCATTGTACGTCCAGGACACCTCGGCAGCCAGGGGTGCGGCACGTTCTCCAGGTTAGATTAGGTCAGGACGCGTTAGGCCGGGCACCCCTGATAAGGGGCCGGCCGCCATGGTCACGTTTCACGGCGGTGCACCCATTTCACGACGAAACTGCTCTAACTGGAAGCTCCGACGTTATTTCACGCGTGTCATGTATGAAATGCGCGTCACGTATTCGACGTTTGATTGCCGATGGATTGTTATCGGTACTCTTCCCCGATATCGAATATTAACTCGACGGAAATTATTCATGGCTATTCCTCGCTCGATGGACGAAATGCACGGATATGCTTTCTTCTTCACCACCTCAACTTCTGCGATTACTTCCACACGATTCATTTTATTTCTCCATTTCCCTTATCTCTCTCGTTATGTCTCGTGTTTCTCTAATCAGTCCCGTTGCGTCGTAATATCGAACCATTTTCTTCATAACTTTTTTCCCGTTTTTTATGTTCGTGGCAGGAAATACATTTGCATTTTTGGCAAATGATAGCAATGACGTTTAAGTTTCACTCCTACTATTGTAATAATTGTGTTAATGAGAAAAGTGTTTGCAATTGTAACAAACGTTCGGTCGGTTGCGCCAACATTCGAGTTAGAATCCTTAATCAAGGATTACTTAACGCGTGATTGGGATTACTCGCCCGAATTCGGGTGATTACCTAACAGTAATCTTCGGTTAGCTTAATCTTTCTCGGTGGAACACGAATTTCACTAATCCGAGAATAGCTAATCCTAGTTAAGGAAGTTCACGCGAATTACAGTTGGTGCAACCGACCTGTAGAAATGTAACCCTAGGAGAGCTTGCTTTAAAAGAATTGCTTGCAAAATTAGCAAATAAATCTGTGGCAGTAATCAAAAGCAATTGTTGTTACTACTCAGTCAAATAAACGATATACAACTTATTATTGTTAGTAAAAAATATTGCCACCATGAATATAATTTGTTATATGACGTTTATTAAGCATAACGAAATATTCCAATAAATTTAATCCGCATATTCCCTATCACGTCAGAATATATTATTTCTTCAAGGGGAAGAGTTATTTTGGCCTTCTTCAAAGAATTAAAGCGATATAAAAGTATGATATATACGTACCAAAAAGTCAACATATTTATAAAACATTTCTCCAACCTGGGTGCACCGAATCACCTGAAACTTTAACACGTGATAATGGAGGCTCTAAGAAAGAGCGCACTGCTCGTGAAATTTCATTTTTCGCGAAAAATTTTGCATTTATCTCGGACAAGAAGCAAAGAAAGATATTTTTCTTCGAGAAATGAAATTTCACAGGCAGCGCGTTCTTCCTTGGAGCCTCCATAATCACGTGTTAAAGTTTCAGATAATTCGGAGCACCCAGTTTTGAGAAAAGTTTAAGATATATTTGGACTTTTTGGTAGGTACATATCACACTTTCATATCACCTTAATGCCGACAGTGAGGAAATACTTGGGACTCCCTGAAACGGTCTAGCACGCCTCGGAAATGAGTTCGGGCTTAACGAGGCGCAGAGGATGCTAGGGGAGAGAGTCTTCTTCCGGAGGGATGAAGAAAGAGGGGGATTCCGGAAGCGACCGGACTCCCGAATTTGACCCCTTCTGGACCTTCGAACCGTGGATGGATAGGTGCGGAGTATAAAGCAAGGGAGTAATTCAGCGTCAATAGGGGCGGTTCCCAGGAAAGAGGGCACCCTTCCCGTCTCAGGGCATCCGGTCTCAAACAGAAACTGCAATCCTGGGATTTCGAGATTAAACCCCGCTACCCAGGAACACCCGGGATGCAATCCCGATGTTGGACTTTCTAATGATTGTCTGGAACGACGCGTTAATTTCCAGGCTTTCTCGACTCGTAGTCAGGAAGTTAAAAGTAAGAAATGAAAAGCTGTTGTTCAATCTTGACATAACGCGTGGCCGTAAGTTCGTTTCAGGGAAAAATACCATTACAATTGCTCATCATTAACACGTTATCGATAAGGTGAAGCGAAACACGTCGAGGAACTTGATCGACGTTGGTAAAGAATATTTTTCAAAATATCAACATTGTCGACATTGGTTTTTATATTGACAACTGTGTCAAGTTTTACTGGGTATTGTATCAAATGGTATACTCCACCTATCGTAAAGTTGTCCTGACCCTTTCGTTTCTCATATCAAAGCCTTCAATAATTGTATATTGTGTCAGGACTATTCTTAGATGATCACGAGTCATGTATCAAAATTTCGGACAGTTTGGTCCAATACCCTTAAAAAAAAAGTGTTTTATTCGAATCCACTGATTTGAGGGGGGTTTCACTTCACCTTAAACGCTCGAATACGTACGCGTTGGTTGGTGAGGCACTATATACTAAAATTAATGCCAAAAGTACCGAAGCCATGAACGTACAAAAGTAATTACGAAGCTATAATTTTCGCATGGAGAATCGGTAGCAGCACTAAATCCGCGGTTGCGAATTATCAAGTTTCATAGTTAAAACTTCCTGTATCGGAGAAACCCATTTTAATAAATCCAATAGTCGACGCTCAAGGCGCACTCCACGCGAAACAACGACTCGCCCCCACGGGGGCAACAAGAAAGAGGTCGAAAGTAAATTTTGTCTAAACAAGCAATTCCGAGGAAATAAGCGAATTCGAACGCCGCAATAAACGCGGAACTACTGAAATCACTAGCGTGCAGAACTAATTTCAAAGCCGAGATTGCCATATCAGCGACTGGACAAATCGGTAACCACGGCAGTACCGAGTACTCGGTGTACCAAGTTTTCCAAACCAAGCTCCATAAACGAGCGGAGAAAGCGATTTAAATAAATTTCTATGGTCAACACCCAGAGCGGTTTGCGGCACCTAATCGTAAAACTAATCCCGGAGCCGATGCCCCCGCCCCACCTTGCACAAACCCTGGGATACACCTGGGGTAAGTATACCTTCCCGGGGTGTTCGTACCACCCTCCCTCCACGGCGGGCAGAAAAGATTATGAAATTAAGTTCGGAGCAACCATTCGTACGTGGTACACGTCCCGTAGTAATTCACGGGGCAAAAGTCCCGATCCAACTTTGCGAGCAATACCTGCCCAGGTGTGCACCGTGTTGAATATCGCGCAAGGCGCGATAATTTGTTCCCCGTTGATGCGGCGATAGGAACCGGAAAAAGGACGCGTTGCCAGGAAATTAGAGAACCGAGGTGCAGCTCGCGCATATCTGCACCCCCTTCCAAGAGCTTCGGCGCGATTACATTTACAAGTGAAATGAAAACGACTCCGGCTCGCCGCTTACCGCCCTCGTCAGAAACGACACCACCGAAGGGAGGACGGGGCAAAAGTGCGAGTTTATCGCGGCGCATAACCCGGGGAAACCTCGTCAACGGGGACATCCTCCTCATTGTAATACGCGGCGCAATTAAGCCG